CTTTTTTCTTTGTAATTCCGCTTTATGATCAATTTCATTATCGCAACTTTCCTCTTCACTACATTCTTCATTATCATTTTCATTAAATTCTTCATTTTTGTCATGAGTATTATTACTATTCTCTCCTTTTCGATACTTTAAAATACCAAAATTAAAAGGTCCAATCAAATCCTTTAAACCTTCAATTCTACTTTTTTTTCTTTCCGGGCATTTATCATCACAAACTTGACATAAATTGTCACCGTGATGACATTTACATCCTTTTTTCTTATGTTTGATACACGGATCATATTCTTTCATCGCGTAAAATCTATTCTCAACTGAATCACCTCTCATTTTTTTATCTGGAATCCAAATAGTATTATCATTGAACATATCAACAATATTCTTTCTAGTCTTTCTCTTACTAAACTGACAATATCCTTGAACATGAACTTTCTTTTTTTCGGTATATTCGAGTTGTGCAGTATATGCAGTCAAATCAAATTTCTTAAATTTTTTAAACTCCTTTTTACTCTGTATAATCGTATATTTACAATCAATACCACTTTCTAAACATGATTTACAAGGATAGGAATCACATGCATTTCTTTTACAACATTCTTTACATTTTTTCCCTTTACACCTGAAATGTACCTCTCCACATAACTTACATGAAGGAATATTTTTTTCCTTATGTAACCTCTCTCTTTCTTCTTGTGTAAACTCTTTCAATCTATGTTTACATTTATATCTCTCCTTACATTCATAACAATGATAAGACGTATAACAAATATGAAAAAATCTATCAATTCCGGACATATTTTAATACTTTTTTTTTAAAAAAAAAATATAAATAAATCTTGTTAATTTATTAAAATTTTTATTATTAATTATTATTATAAAATCATACTAAGAAATTTTTTGGTGTGTTAATTTTTTGTGATTATATCAATTTTTTAAAAATTGCCAAAATTTGATCTACATTCACAAAAATCACAAAAAGCATGATTTTTTTATACCAAAAATGCCATTTTTCCATTAACTGCGGCATACTGCGGCACCAAAATTGAACAAATTCTGCCATTTCCAAAAATTCAGTTGTTTCTTTTCAACATTCTCCTATAAACCGATTTTTTTGGTGTACTATTTCACCCACAAACGTGACTTTTTTACCAAAACTGCCAACATTTATATCAAAAAAACGAAAGCATGTATATCTTTCCCTTTTTAATTTTATTATTTTATCACTTCATTCTGAAGGTGGGGAAAATGGAGCCAATAGCGCTTCACTACTTTGTGTTACGCTGTGGCTCTAAATGAAATATTTCAATACGCAGTATTTCATTTCATTTTCCCCACCTTCAGATCGATATGAGACGTTGTCTCACATCTCATTCGATAGGACTCTTCGAGTCCAATCTCAGGGTTAGATGAGACGCTGTCTCATATCTCTGAAATTAATAATAATTATATAAACTAATTAAAATAATAATTATTAATTGATTTATTTATAAATAAGTAATTTTATTCCATCTTTTAAATTAAACATGACTGATATTTTTGAGATAATTACAAATTGGGAAAAATATAAAAATCCTAATAAACCGAAATTAAAACTTAATGAATATTGATTGATAAAAATTAATCATAAATTATATCTTGAAATTAAAACTCAAAAACCAGGATTTACATTTTTAACAGATCTTAAATATTTTAAATATCTTAAAAATCATATATGGTCTATTCAGGAAAAAAGAAATAATTATTATGTTTTAACAAAAATTTATAAAAAGTCTAAATCAAAAATGTTAAAATTTCATCGATTATTACATCCCGAATTTAAAGAAGTTGATCATATTAATAGAAATGGGCTTGATAATCGTGATATTAATTTAAGAGATGGATCTAATAATATAAATAATAAAAATCGTAGACTACCAAAAAATAATACTTCTGGTTTAAATGGAATTTCTCATCATAAAAAAAATAAAAGATGGGTGTTTTATTGGTGTGAAAATAAAAAAACTAAAACTAAATCTTTTAAACTCAAAGAAGAAGCTATTAAATTTAAAGAAGAAACAGATTTAAAATTTAATAATTTAAATGGTCAAAATATATAATTTTTTTCTTTAAATTTAGTATAGATCATATAAATAAAATAACGTAATCTTTGTGATAATTTCAAATTTTTTACTGCGGTTTACAAAAATTTTTTAAGCAGAGTTTACAAGTTTTTGAACAGTTTTAATAATAATTTCAAATTTTATTATTCGATTATTAATCAAATAAAATATAAATATGGTTTTAAATAATTTAAATCACAAATAAAATGTTTTCTTTCTTAAACAAAAAAACCTCAAAAACATCTCGAAAAATTATAAAAATATCAAATGTTAATAATTGTAAAAAACGAAAGAGGGATGTTGTTGATGATGCTATTGAAAAAATGACTAAAAGACGTAATTACATGTGTTGTTCCGAACGAGATGAATATTTTAAACTCTTAAATAAATCATT